GTTGAAAGGCTGTGACATTGCTACTTACACTGTGAGATTCAGTGATCTAACTCTTCTCTTCCCGGGAGTGGTCACCCTGGAGAGCAAGAAAGTAGAAAGATACATATGGGGATTAAAACCCCTAAATCAGGGGAATGTCCTGGCTGGAAATCCGCTGACATTTGATAGTGCCAAATGGTTGGTGCAAACTTTGATTAACCATGAGGATCACTAGGATCCCGTGCTAGTTGCACATGAACTACCCAAGGAGAGCAGTGGGAAGAAAAAGTTCTGGAATAAGCACAAGGGAAAGTCTTTGCAGGAGTCCTCCAAGAAGCAGCAAGTAGTGGTAGTGCATGCCGCTACTACTCCTGTCGCTGCCCCTACAGCTTAAGCACGTACCAGTAGATATGTTGGAACCCTCCGAAGGTGTGACAATTGTAACGTCCACGATCATGCACCATGATGTGAAACAACTCTGGCAAAAACAGGCATACAACCCATTTTTGCAAGACTCAAGTCCAACCCACTAATCAGGCTCCTGAAGCTGGAGTGGGCCAAGCCCGTTATCGATGTGGTGAGGCTGGACACTTCAATAGAAATTTCTAAAAAGCAACAGCCGGCAACACAGGGAGAGTGCTAGCTATGGGCCATGACGAGGCTGTTACTGATCCCACCGTAGTTTCGGGTATGTTCCTCCTCGACAACTCTTATGCATGCATTCTTTTTGATAGTGGTACGGAGAGAAGTTTTCTTAGTCATGCATTCAAGCATCTACTCAAGCATAAATCCAACCTATAACCGAAACATTTACCGTCAAGATAGCTAACGGTAAGAAAGAGAGCACTATCGACGTATTAATAGGCTGTACCTGAAAGACTCCAACTTTCATATTTTTGAAAGACCCAAACTTTCATACTACACAATATCATTACTCCAAAACATGCTACTTTCATATTCATAAAAGCAATATTTTACATTGATAAAGAGATTACAAACTACTGGATACAAACCGACTATTACAAACACTACTAGAAAAATAGCCTTTTACAACGCTCATTGCGCGTCGTAAAAGGCTCAGACGACGTGAAAATGCGGGTCAAGTAAGGCCTTGTCATAAAGAGAGACGACGCGCTTTTGCGCAACTTCTATAGACGACGCGCATTTACGACGCTCATTTACGACATGCAATTACGATGCACGTTTACAATACGCAATGCGTATCAAGGAAGGCCTTGTCATAAAGGAAGATGACATGCATTTGCGTGTCATAACCTTACGACGCGCGTGTTAATGAAACGCAATGCGTATCAAGAAAGCCCATGTAAAGAAAGGTCATGTCATAAATGAAGATGACACACATTTTTGCGTATCATAATTTTAAATGTTTAAAAAAATATTATTTATAGATTTACTAATTTTCGAATTATATAATACATTAAAAATCTCATAATACAAAATAAAATACCATACATAACAAAGATAATTAATTTCACTAGTAGGTCAAATACAAATAATTATTCCAAAAGTGAGTAAATGTTATAAAAAAATGAACTCATTTATATACAATTGCATCATCTAGCTTACTATGTGCCAACAACTCTCTATGTGTTTAATTTGGCTTGAGTCTCGTTTCAAGATCCAAAATCACCTTCAATCACCCAATTAAACTCTATATCTTCTGTTGTTTGAAAGAGATTGGTGTTTGTAATCTATGAACAAAAAACGCAAAGACCAAGGTTAACATTAGCTATATAGAAAGCACAACTGGACATATGAATATATAATACGCAACATAAACATTTTCATGAAAATGATATAGACAAATAAGTAAGAGTGATGATATTGATACCTTAATTACGCCATTGGTGAATGAAATTAATTGGTTGATAGCAATACTTGACCTTTGAAAACAAATAAACAAAGGATCACATCATAATTAGCTCAATGAAGTAATTCTTATACATTGTCTCTACCAAAAGATTCATCATGGAAACATTTTTGTTGGAAATAACTAAACAAAAACCTAAATACTAAGCAAAAAAATTATAGTAATCACCATTTAGAGCAAGATGAGGAGTCCGATCAGGCCATATGAGACCATTTAAGTAGAAATTTAAGTCATTTGGTGTATCTCCAAAGTCACCACCATATGCCCAGTATTTGCTACCATTTGCATTTTCCTTGAGTAACCCCTGAAACCAGATGCAAATATTTAGAACTACCCTTGCACCATATTTACAATTTTATAAAATTTAAGAGATGAGTTTCAAACCTGGTCAACCCAATCCCAAATAAACCCTCCTTGCAGACCAAATTTGGTGGATCGATGCTGATTGGGTGGAAGAAATATGATGTAATGGATAAAAGGCACAAAAAAAAACGGCTAACAGCTTACAGAATCTCATGATAAAAATGAACCCCTTATATTTCGGAATCTTCTGACTCTGATGAAGCTTCCAATATACACTAGGAGCAGAAGCATGTATGAAAAGAGTTCAAAAAAATATGGTATAGGAAAACAATGCTGGTAAAAGACATTGTTGTGCACCATTATCATGTATAAGGTAAACTTAATCACATAAATAGTTATCAATCAAACACAGCCAAAAGTGTTTACCGATAAATTAATGCCCCCTGCAACAGTTTGTCTTTGATTCCTCTGATTCACATAACATGATAACTCAGCAACAAACTCATGAGCTTCAGTAAGTTTTGAAGCATAATTATGTTTCATGTGAAGTACACCCCCTAGACATCTTCCTTGTATCCAATAACTAATGTCATTCAGTTGTTTCCAGTCCTCATCAGTAAATTGCAAAGCTTGATTTCATCTTCCATTAAACCATACAGTGAAAAAATATTCCTCATTGAGAGAAAACTAACCAACCCCACCTTGAGCTTCACTGATCCAAGGAAAACTTCCTAAGCCTTTACATGTAACTTCAGTTTCCTCTAGCTTCAATTGTTTGTGTATACTCTTTTGACCTCTAAACCCTATATCAATCAAAGTGTATAAACTTGATACACTTCTTTCCCGACTTGAAAGAATCATCATTTTAGAATAGGAACAACAAGTTTGAACCTCAGAAGAAAAGTTAATCAGAAAAGAAAGGCTTCCATATCTAATGCATGAGCAACAAAATGAGACGAAACCAAATTTGCAATAATTATAATTTCTTATTGAGATAGATTTTTACAGAATGGAGTTATAGTACAAATCATTTCTCATTCAAGAAATAGTATCAGTAGGACCTATTTGGAAAGACATTGGGAATTCAGCCATTTCGACTCACTTTGTGCTACTAGTGCAATATCCTATATACACATAAACAAATGTTATTATTAATTATAATTCATAAATTCAAGTATTGGAATATCTTTTGCTTACCTTCACGATCTCTAGTTTACCAAGCTGAATGGCTAGTTCAAATCTATAATTAGGATTTGTAGCAACTTCGAAGCTTCATCAATCATTCCACGTGACTCCAAAAAATGAGCAACACTATCGAGAAAAAAATATTCATATATTAAATTTATTTGGTTTATCTCAATCAAAATACAATGATACAAAGTAAGTCGCCATTATCAGACTATTATTGATCATTGATATTTTGACAAGATTGAAAAAAAGAGACCTGCACTGCATCAAGGGGGACATGCCCTAAAGAAACAGTTGCCACAACAGCAAGAATTCATCTGATATACTGCTATGGTATTCAGACTTGTTATTCAAGAAAAGGAAAACAAAAGAGTCGAATTTTAAAAATATAAAGATAGAGTTTTCAATTGATTGTTCAGAGAGATGTGTGGTGTGAAAGATATATAAATACATAGAAACTGAAGTGGGCAGGATATAAAAATGAAATGAAACCTTTTTGATATACTAAAGATGATCAGAACTCAGACAAGTTCACACACAATTCTACATAAATAGATTTGACCTAAATGTTAAAATAGTTTGTATATTACAGTTTCTTGCCGTTTTTTTTAATATAAAAATCTGATTATTTTGTAGCTAAGTAATCAAAAACACCATAATCAATCACTTTTACCCAAATGCTTAGAAGTCAAAATGGATTTAATGTTACGAACAGTTGCAAAAGCATGATTAAATGGGCATCACACATTAATTCTAGAGGAAGATTGTTAGATTGGATAAGCAATTAAGATTGTTAGATTGGATGTTCACCTTTGGCTAGAGGAAACCCAATAACAAACATGAGTGCCATCATCATCAGCCATAAGAACCTATGAATATTTGCTCACTTCTCTCCATAAAGCTAAAACAACCCAGTAACAAGCATGAGTCCCATTAGAATCAATTGCTACTATTGATAATAGGATTGAAAAAACACATATAGTCCTCAAGATTATCAGATGCTTCTACCAGCTCTAACTCTCCATCCTCATAACAAAGAGACTCAGGCTCTGGACTCAAACTAGTCCTTTTGACCTAAAAAAATATCCAAATTTTCTAAATGTCAATAAATTCAATCATAAAGAAGAATACGGTAATAGTTGTAGATCAAAAATAGGAGAGCATACAAGGATTCCTTCAAGATCCTTAGTACAGTACGCATTCAAATGCAAGAATATACAAACCATATTTTTTTTTTGATAAAAGGGGAAAACCCCTTGGAAAAATATATTAAAAAAGAAAAAACATTAAAAAGAGAAGAGGGCCACCGCCCCAAAAAAACTAACTACAACCCAAACTAAACAACTAACTTGAAACAACAAGGAAAAAATACAAAAATCTATCTAATCTCCGCCAACCAATCCACTTCCAAGTCCAATTCCACTGCAACAAATGAAACCAAACATAGCTACTAAAATAAAAACCAATGATATAAAAAACAAAGCTCTTCCGTCTAGAACAATCTTCAAAGACATCAATCTTTAAGAAGCTCTTAAACCTCCACATTCCAGAAACCAAAACTCACCAACCTTCAAAGAAATCCCAAAAACACCAAAACACATTAAAAAGAATCAAACCCCTCACTAACCAGAAACTGAAGCTAATCATCATTAATAACAGGATCCATGTTGGTATCCAGCCCCGTGGTACCATCGGTAGCTTCCACTTGATTCATAAAATTTTTATAAGAAAATTTATCCAATCCAAATTCTTCATACAAAGCTTCCTCACTTTCTTCATTGCAAGAATCTTGAAGAACTCCAAAAGAATTGCTAACATTTAAATTAATCGGAGCCACACCCTTAACATTTTGGTGGAACTTATCAAAATTTGAGCTAACTTTAAAATCCCTTCCAGATTTTGGAACATAGCTCTGCGTAAAAACAATTTTATTGCCCGCATCCTCTTTTTTCAAATAATCCTGCTTAATTCCTTTATCACTAGAACTTCCTAAATTACCCTCAGGATATAAAGAACCCCCAAAACCTCTTCCTTTTTTTATCATAACCTTTAGAATTACTACTTTGCCCTTTATCAACCAAATGAATTCCTTTTTTACCATTAAAATCAGAATTCTACCTATTATACCCCTACTCATTTTTGCTACTAGCTTTCCCTCCTTGAACATATCTTTTTTCCGACAAAATAGAGTTATTTCCATAATACCCCTGAACGCTATTTCCAGAAAACACTCCAGAATTTTTATTTTTTGGATTATTCACATTTTGCCCCTGTATGTGATTACCAGCCTCAGCCCCTAATCTTTCATTTTTCGAATTATTTCCATACTGCCCCTGGATCACAAATTTTTTCCTCTCCCCTACAACTGAATTAGAGCTGACTTTCGACTTATTACCTTTGTTTTTCTTCACCACAGTTTCAAAACCATCATTCTTATCCTTGACTTCTTTAGTGCTAGCCAAAAGAACTTGCATAAGATCAATAGAAACGTCTTCTTTACCTTTTTCTATTTTGCTTTTCTCCTCTTCTTCTTTCTTTTGATTAGCAATTAAAATTCCGCAGTTAGAGTCCTTATAACAATAAACTTTACAATGAGAACACTTTGAAGGATTCCAAGCATATTCGACTTTACATATGGAAATAACCCTTTCAAGGTGAAGAGTAGTTTGAATCACCGACCTCTTAGAAGTCCCCTGCTGCTGCTAGTCTCTGTTCTGATAAGTTGGCATGGGGATGGGGGAGGTCCACCTATTGAACCACCATAAACAAAGTCAGGCAATACCATTTTCTTTATCCCCTAATTTCCATAATTATTGAATGAAGCTGAAGCAGCATCACAGTGACGAAGTAGGACAGAAGAGGTAGAAGAACGATTGTAAAGTCAAATGGATCAATATTAAAGACCTAAAAAATCTAAAATTGAGTTCTAAAATAGATATGATTTCAAAAGACAGAAGAAAATGGATGGGCTGAGGGTTGTAGGATTCGAGAAGCACTTCGAAACAAAAAAATACCTTAAATCTATAATTGTGTTACCCAGGTGTAAGAAGTCGGAGGGGTGACTCAGCGAACCGGTGTCACCCTTCTTCGCATCATCATCACACCATGAGCAGCCCTAAAAAACCAAAAAAAAAAAAATACTAAATTAGCAGACTAAGAAAAAATAACATCAACAAATCTTATACCTGGGATTCAAAAACATAAAACCAATGTTTCATTCTTTAATCTTGTGGTATAATGAGGATTTGTTGGTGGTGGTGGTGAACCAGAGAGAAGAAGAGGGATGGTGGGTGCCTAGGTTATTGTCAAACAGTAGCGGGTAGAGAGAGAGAGAGAGATAGATAGAGAGAGATAGAGAGACTTGTAGTTGGTCGTGTATTACCTGCATCAAATTGAAATTAAGGGAATGTTGATTTTATAACATGACTTTGAAATCACAATATGTATATCGATGTCCACAAATTTGTTGCTAAAACGTGGAGAATCGACCTAGGTTTTCCCTGACTTGTGTTCGAGAAACCATTTGTTGTGGTTAATGGAAGAGAGAGAGAGAGAGAGAGAGAGAGAGAGAGAGAGAGAGAGTTTTTATAGATAGGGCGGAGGGGGTGTACGAGATGTTTGATGATACTGATAAGAAGGAGATCGAGTAGAGATCCCATGAACGAGATCTTTGATGATACTAAAGATGACGATGAAGGACCTAGGGCTTTTTCTTACTAAGTAGAAGAGGCGGGGGGATTAATTTTTGGGATTCTGGGGTTAATTTTTGTCGATTTCATTTCCCGCTTAAAATGCGTGTTTCACTTAAAAATTATAAAGTGACACATTTACATGATGCGCATTTTATGAAAGGCGCCCTCCACATTTCTTTTTTTTCTTTTCTGACACTAATTTTAGGGTGCACACAAATACGTGCCCTCTATCCTTCAAATTTTGCAAAATTGACATTATCTTTTAGGGCACTTACAAATGCACGTTGTCTATCAGCGAGTGTCATTGATTGCGTGTCATTAAAGGGCTGTTTTCTTGTAGTGAATGTGTTATATATTACATAACTACCCAAGATATTGTAATTTATACAAACATAAACTGGAGTACAAAAGTACTATTACAAACTATTCTAAATCTTTCAACAGTATGTGATCATACTAGTTACTTATCACCTTCAATTGTTAAACATTGATAGGGTAAGCGGTGACGCTTAGTGAGTTCAATAATAGATACAATATAACGTTATGCCATATATATACTTCAATATGGCAGAAGCAAAGAGGAACAACAAAGACATATGTGAAATCATGTGAGAAGCGTTCATATCAATCAAAGACTTCATTCAAAGATATACTTTTCAATGCTTGATATACATCAATAAAACTTTGGCCCAAATGGCATAGAAGACATGCAATTTCTGATTAACATCTTGTTAGATTTCAGGCTTATAGTCCTGTTTAACCATTTGCCAATGCCATAGAATCGAAGTCATTCTCTTACGGAGACATGCTCTACATGGCTAGAGGCTACGTACCAGTACCAATGTGAATCTAACTCCTTTCACTGATCACATGGTCAAAGGTATTACATTTGCTATAAACATAGCGAATAAAATAACACGGGAAAATAACCCGGAATAATATCACTGAAAAGCACATAGCACATATAACACATAACATACAATTGTTCCTATATATTGAACTCACCTTAAATTAATCGGGGGTTAAAATAGTAATTTGCAGAACGTTTCGGCTTTAAATATGACTTTTTATGTTAAAAATCGGGAGCTTAATTGAAAACCGGGCTCTGCGAAGGTAGGGCTCCAAAACCGAAAAGATAAATTTTTTGGGCTTCTCGGGAGTCTCGTGACATGTTTCAGGCTTTGGAATCAATATCGGGGCTTCGGGGGAAATCAAAATACTAAAAATATTGAAAAAGGGTGAAAAGGTGCCAAAATTTCAAAGTTAGTCGGCAAGTCTCGTAGGCTGCTATTTATAGAGCCGAGGTTCGGAGGGTGTGCTGGCAGAAGGGACATGCGGCTGCTGGAGCAAATGCCACGAAGCGATAGGAGAGGAGCTAGCGCGCATGCGAGGCTCGAACAGGATGCAAGGCGCGTCGGAAGATCATTGGACCGCGGTTCGGTCCACTCGGATGGTGACACGAGGCGGAGTCTGCTGCAAGGCGCACGTTGGATGCATATTGGACCGATGCTCTGGGCGAACCGAACTGCGATGCGTGTCGGACACGAGGCGAAATCTCGCGAGCCTGGCACTATTCATGCGAATTTTCTCGAAAAATGTGCCCCAAATTTCTAAAATCCATAACTTTCGCATACGAGCTCCATTTTTGATGTTCTTTATATGCACGCGTAGCTAAAATTACGCTCTACAACTTTCGTTTAGACTTCGTTGGATAATTTTACTTTAATTTTAATATTATTATTTTTAACAGACCGGGATAAGAAACACCGTTAAAAATTTATAACTTCTTCATCCGACATCCGTTTTCGTCAGACTTTTTACCGTTGTACTACAAATGACGAGACGTTCGATTCTCGTTTAGGATGTATAGGCCAAATATCGTTCAATCTAAAATTTGAGTTTTTAGCTGTCTACTGCTAAGCTGAAATTTCGAAAAATCATAACTTCTTCATACGAAGTCAGATTTTGGCGTTCTTTTTTTCAAACTTCTCAGTTTAACGAATACTACGACTCTCATTTAGATCACTAAGGCTAAAAGGTAGTTTATCAAAAACTCACTTTCTACGTCATTCGGAACCGTGTCGGTTCTATCGTGGATCTTAGATTGGTCATAACTTCTTCGTTTCGATGAGGTTTTCGCGTACAAGTTGCTAAAGAGATTATTTACAACTTTCAATAATAAAATTTTACTTATTTAAAATTTTATATATTCGCTAAATTTCACTATTTGGATTTTAATTGGAATCTCATAAGACTTCCAATATTTTCTGAGTGATTCTAAACATAGTTTTACTTCATTTCTAGTAAAAACCATCTGTTAGAACTCAACACTCAATTTCACATAGTATTTCACAATTTTATTCATTACAAAACACGATTTCAAAACGTATATGTTACAGTACCCTTACCCTAAACGATTATTCCTTTCCCATCGATCTTATGTCGGTCTCCTTTAAGGGCTTCGATGCCATTATCGACATGGACTGGTTAAGTCTTCATCGTGTTGATATCCTTTGTTTTGAGAAAGCCATTTGCCTCAATCTGCCTAATGGTGAAGCCCTCATCATTTATGGTGATAAACTCTACAAAAACCTTTGTATCATATCTTGAATTAAAGCCCAAAAATACCTGCAAAAAGAGTGTCATGTTTTCCTAGACTATGTCGTTAACGAAAAGCAGGAAGTTAAGGATCTTGAGAGCATCCCTGAAGCCTGAAACTTTCTTGATATCTTTCCCGAAGATCTTCCCTGAATCCCTCCCAAATGCCAAGTCGAGTTCTAAATCGACTTAATCATCGGAGCTACCCCTATAGCCAAATCTCTTACTGTCTAGTGCCGGCAAAAAACCAAGAGTCATCTAGCTAGCTTAATGAACTGCTCAACAAAGGATTCATTAGACTGAGCTTCTCACCCTGGGGAGCCCGGATCTTATTTGTGAAAAAGAAGGATGGATCCTTCCGGAAGTGTATAAATTATCGTGAACTAAATAATCTCACCATCAAGAATCGCTACGCTCTTCCCCAAATCGACGACCACTTCGATCAACTTGAAGGAGCCAGTTACTTCTCAAAGATAGATCTAAGGTTAGGATACCATCACTTACGAGTCCATGAGGGTGATATTCCTAAAACAACATTTCGGACTTGATATGGTCACTACGATTTTGTAGGGATGTCGTTTGGTATGACGAGTGCATAGGCGGTATTCATAGATTTGATGAATCAGGTGTGCCGCCCCTTCCTAGACAAGTTCATGATAGTATTCATTGATGATATACTTGTCTATTTTCGAAGTGAGCAAGATCATAGACAGAACTTGAGGCAAGTGCTAGAAACATTAAGGGTGGAGAAACTATATACAAAACTCTCTAAGTGCGAATTCTGGATTAGAAAGGTAACTTTCCTCAGTCACGTGGTTAGCGAGGAAGGCATACACGTGGATCCTTCCAAAATCAAGGCAATTGAGAATTGGTCAGCACCGAAGACGCTCACAGAAATTTGTAATTCTTTGGTCTAGTTGGCTATTATCATAGATTTATCCAGAACTTCTCCAGGATTGCTAAGCCTTTGACAACCCTAACTTAGAGAGGTGTATCCTTTAGTTAGGGAGAAAAGCAAGACATTACATTTTAAACATTGAAGTGGGCCTTACGCATCGTACCTATCCTGTCTCTGCCAGACGCGACAGAGGACTTCGTTATCTGTTGTGATGCATCCAATCACGGCCTAGGCTGTGTCCTCATACAGCGAGGAAAGGTTATTGCCTTTGCCTCGATACTTATGA